TCCCTCTCTCTCCTTCTAAGACACACACACACACACACACACACACACACACACACACACACACACCCTCTATGTGGGGGCGAGTGCATAAGTACGGATGTGTAGCCAGGCCCCTCCCTGGTTGCCCGACTCGGTTCTCCTAGGAACTAAGTTTCTGCCATCTCCTTATGCAGTGTCCCCTGTGCTGAACATTAGTTTCTAGACAACAGCCCCTCTACCCAGCACTGCCCCCCACCCCACCAATCCCTCATGACTGTTTTCTGCTAGTTCTTCGGCTTGTATTTCTGTATTTCTTACTCTCTTAGGAACACAAAGGGAACAAGACATCACCTAGGCCACTCACCAAGTGCTCCAAGACCCTCTTCCCCAGATTCAGTCCATCATCCCAACCCATTCTGCTTCCTCTCCTTGAGGCTCCTCAGGAGATATGCCTCCCTCCCCGGGGACACTGGGTGGGCCTAAGTCCTGACTCAGGCCCTTCAGCACTGCTCCCCACTGCTGTCCTAAGGTGGGGAAGCTCAGAAGGCTGCCACAGGAGACAGGGTCGCCAGAACCTCTAGTAGCCCAGGTCTGCAGTTGGATCCTGATGCCATCCTGGGCCCAGGTAACAGCCACTGGGGCCTCCAGTGCTGTCTGTGGCAGCTTTGGTTTGTTTTGATCATATTTATTATGAAAACACAAGGTGGTTGGAATTTAGGGGGTCAGAGAATTAGAAGCACTCATTGCTTCTAATTCAACTATTCCACATTACATTAAATTGAACTTTTTTATTTATTCATACCAAGTTTCTTGTTCATGCATTTAATCCTCATTTACTTTGGATAATGCAGTGCCTGGTTCTCTGCAGTTTAGATGAGTTAAAGATAACTGTTCTGATATTCAGAGCTACACAGATTTTTTTAGTCTTCTGTTTCATTATCTGATGTGGGCAACACTGAATTATCTTTGAAATTCTTTTTAACATTTCTTTATTTCAATTGCCATACATAATCCACTGCAGCCAACTCAATCACTTCTCCTCATGAAACTTTTTACTTTGAAATATTTGTAGACTCACAAGAAGTTGCAAAAATAGTACATAGTCCTGTGTACCCCTCACCCAGCTCATCCAATGGTGACATCTTAAATAACTATGCTACAACATCAAAACTGGGAAACTGACTTTGGTATGTTATTTACTACCCTACAGGCCTAATTCATATTTCACCATTTTCAGTGTGACTGTGTGTGTAGTATTAGATATATAGATTCATACACCATCACCTCAATCAAGATACTGTTCCATCACCATAAAAGAATTCCCTCAAGCTGTTCCTTTAGAATCACCCCTCCCTTCCCTTCCCAGACCCCTGGTGACTATTTTTTGGCTACTCTGTTCTTCATCTCTACACTTTTGTCATTTTGAGAATACTACAAAATGGAATCATATAGTATAAAACCTTTTGGGATTGACTTTTTTCACTTACTAGAATGTCCTTAAAATCTATCCAAAGTGTTGTGTGTATCATCCAGTTTGCTAATGTGGTGAATTATTCTGGTGGATGTTTGGTTATTAACCCAACCATGCAATCCAGGGATAAACTGCACATGGTAGTGATGTATTGTTCTTGAATATACTGTTAGATTTAATTTGCTAAAACTTTATTTAGAAATTTTGCATCTTTGTTTATGAGAGATGTGTGTGTGTAGATTTTGAGTTTTGTTTTCCTAACTTGTAATGTTCTTGTCAGGTTTTGGTATCAGGGTGATTCTGGGCTTATAGAATAAACTGTATGGCATTTCGTCCTCTTTAATTCTTTGGGCCAGACACAGCAGGAACTCAATGAATACTCCATGGGTAATTTGGGGGGTGGAGAAATGAACTAACATAGGATATATGAACAGTTCGAGCTGGGATTGATTACTATAAAGAATACATCGTCTGCTGACACCAGGCCACTGACAAGAGGCAACATGATTCACATCCACTGTCTCTGGTCTTCAGTTGACCCTGAGGTGGGAATACCTGTCCCTGTTTTACAGTCGAGGAGCCCGAGAGCTTATTAGTTGTCAAAGGTCCTTTGGCTGCAGAGTTGGTGCAAACCAAGTGCACTATCAGCCTTCTTCCATCCCTGCCTCAGTGCAGCCATGACCCCTGACCCCACATGGATGGGCCAGCCCATGTCGTCTGGAAGTCATGCTGCTGTTTGCTGTAGGACTCTGGTGCCTGAGACGAAGCTCAGTGTCCTGAGGGAGAGTGTGAGGTGTGATTCCCTCTGGGCACCATGTTGGACAGGAAGGGTGTGGTCACCTGTGGGGTGGGCTCCATGTTGCCTTTGTCAGAAGGTGCTTCTTTCTCTTATCCCTGAGACACAGGGCAGATCACTATGGGAGTCACATTTCTCTCATCACTCACATAATGTTGGATGTAGGGCCTCAATAACCCTTCAAACTGATATGTCAGGGTGTCAATGAGGGACCGATCATTTACATTGAAGAAGGAGATGGTCCCCCCCTCGTAGTCTAGGAAGACCCCAACTCGTGTGGGGGGTGTTCTCAGAGAGAGGGTCATTCTCCAGGTTTTAAATATGAGATACTTTTCTTTTCTCTTCAGTCCGAACACCCAGTATCCATTGTTGGGAGACAAAATTTCATATGTTACCCTCCTGTTCACATTGTCCTGGCACACTCCCACACACCACATTTCATTGTGTCCCACTTCTACCTCCCAGTAATGTTTTCCTGCCTGGAATCCCTGAGAAGCCACCACACACTTCCTTGTAAATCTCTTGTCCGAGTAGGTCACATTCTGGCCAATGTTCCTATAGCGCACAGCTTTCAGATGATAAATGTAGAGCTGGGGGTGAGCTGTCTCTGGGTCCAAGGTCACCTCCACTGGGGCGTGGTGAGGGAGAGAGAGCATGAGTTACTTGAGGAGGTACCTGGGCTGGATGCAGAGGCCACCCCCTCCCCCTGCAGACTGTCTCAGGGTGGGATCAGGTCAGGTCTTAGAGCCAGAGGCTCCGTCAGACACTGTCCCCTGCCCCTTCTTCATCTCCAGTGGGGCCCCAGGCCCCACCAATGCCTGGAGATGCCCAACTGTGAGGTCCTAGCTCCTGTATATCACGCAGCCCTTCCACTGTACCTCCACATCAGTCCACTGCTTCATTTTGTGAGACCTAGATTGTCCCTTGTAACCAGCTTGCTCCCATTCTGAGTCCTGTCCAACTTCACCTCCTTCCCCTCAGTCCATCCCCTTGGCCAGTCACCAGTGCCCTCAGTTCCCTGGAGCTTAGCCTCTGACTCCCATCCTGCCTTACCCAGCCCCTTGCCCTCTCCGCTCCTATTCCTGGGCCAAGAAATGCACCTAGGGCAGCTGCCCCTGTTGAATCCAGGCCTCATAGATTTAGAGTCCAGTGTGTCTCAGTGTTCCTGTTCCCCCTTGTCTGTCTCTGGTCGGCTCCCTCTCCCATGCCCACCCGCGGCTCTGTCCCACTGTCACCCCTCAGGCATTGGTACCTGCATGTTTCCGGGCCTCTCTCAGTTCTGAAAACAAGCAGACAGAGCAGGAGTGTCAGTGCTCACATGGAGAGCAGGAGGCAGGGAAACAGGAGACCAAGGGAGTTAATATTTGTTGGTGTCATGGGTCCACAGATATTTGCTGGAGGCCATGGGGCTCTCTACAAACACACCTCCCCCAGTATCTGCAGATGGTTTCAGGGTCCCCTTCACAAACTTGTCTCTGCAGAGACCCATGACCTCAGGGTCTCAAGATTCATAAACTAGAGACTTGAAAGGAGAGATAATGGAGGTGGAGGGAATAGCTTCTCTCACCTGCAGCTCCATGCTCCCTTCTCCAGTCTGTAAACCAAAAACACAGAAGAAGGTGAAATCACAAAAAAACGGGGCCCAGGGCAGAGAGTGAGAGGAAAGCCTTACAACACTCTTACCCAGTTCTCGTGTTTCCATGACACAAACGGCAGAATAATCTGGGCTGATACAAGCCTGGAAGGCTTGTCTCCAAGTATCAAGCCAAGCAGGAGGTTGATGGAGACACCCCACAGGCTCTTCCCCTTCTGGGTCCACACCCACAGAGAGCGCATGAAACCTGCAGTTCCTCACCCCGCATAATGTACCAATAGGCAAAATGTGCAGACAATTTTAGGGGTTTTCAGGATCCCAATGCCCACCCTGACCCCCCAGCCTGTCTGAGGATTACTTCATTAGTCAATGGATGGGAGTTGAACCAGTTGCCCTCATTGGCCTGGCCATGCTTCCCGTCCAGTCTGGAGCCAAGACAGCCCCCAAGTGGCTCTAACTGTGGAACCGGAGGGACCCAGGAGAACTGTGGGGAAGGCTCAGAGCATGACTAGACACTTACCCAATTCTGCCTGGACTTTCCCTGAAACAGAAAGAGAATATTCAGTGGTGGACAGAGGAATGTGTAAGGTAGGAACACAGCCCTGGCTCATTGCTCAGAAGGACGAGCTGTGGGTGAATGATGGGGGCTCTTCTAGAATTCTCCTTTTGTGTCCCCACCCCTATGTACTGAGCATCTCTATCTGGGGTAAAAGAAGAGATCAGGAACATTCATGATGAAGGGAGGGGCTGACACCTGGGATCCTGTGGAGGTGGAGATGGAGGTTATCAGGGAGAAGGGAAGTTGCGATGAGAGAAAACCTGGAGTGAAGTTGGGATCACAGCACACATTCTCAAGGGGCAGTATCATCTCCAAGGAGGAAAAATCTCNTGATATCTGTTTCTCTTTAAGGTTTTTTACTTCTATTTTTTGGGGGGGTTGTTTCATTACCCTTGTTTTGACATTTTGATTTACATGCCTGTGGCCTCATTCATTTTGTATCTCTCTTGCTTTCTAATAAGTACATATATAAGGCTAATCCCTAGGCCACATCATATATATATACATATATATATATGTACATATATATATATATATGTATATATATATTTTTTTCAAATAGTAATTTTATTATCGTTTTTCTCTTTGAAGAAAGAATTATTTTAAAGAATATTTTTGTTTGTTTGTCTGTCCATCGTTTGCAAACTTTCTCTGTGATCTTGTTTTAGATGTAGCTCTAAATAAATTATTGTGCCTGGGTAGGAGGCCCCCTTGAGGGCATCTCTGGCTTTAGGAGCTCCAACCCCTCAGCCTCAAAAGAAATTACTCTAAATAAGTTACTACATATAAAGCATCTGGAACAGCATCTGGCATATAGTTAATAAGTGTTTGCTACTTTCATCTTTGTTATGATCTATTATGAGCAGAAGATTTTTTTCTGCTCATATGATTATATCATAAAATCTTTCCTTTCAAAAAATAATTTAATTTGTCACATTTATTGTAAGTACTGATTTGCTTTCATTTATTCTTGTCCTCTTAATGTTCCTATCAAACGTCTTTTCTTCCTGAGCAGGTACAGCGTACAGTTTTTTATCTTTGTTCTCCGTAGTGCTTTGAAAGTTTTATAGCCCGTTTCTATGTGTAATAACCCTTAAAAGTTTATGAACCTGTATTTTTTCCCCCTCAGTGTCTAAAAGTGCTGGTCACTTCTGAATAAGACAAAATATTGAGCATGATTTTACTTCTTTTCCTTTTGACTCTCCTCCAAACTCCCAGGTTTTGAAAGCGTCTGGAAGTTTTATTTTAGATGCTTTAACATGAACGTTTTTTCCTCTATTTTAGGAACTATTTTCTAGAGATTACATAAAAAATCATGGGTACATTCACAGCAGTTACAGCATCAGTCACACTTTTGGCAGCTTTGTTGCTCAGCACTGTTTCTTGTGTCACACGTCTCCTCCACTTTATCTTTTCTTGGGTTCATTGTGCTTGACACGCCCTCCAGTATTTTATTTCCATAAATATCTTTTGGTAGTATAATTTCTCTGATTCTCTTTATTTCTGGAGATTTGCTTTTACCTTTTTAGTTGAAAAATGATTACTCAAACATGTGGATGTGACCAGGGAGGAAATGAGATGGTAATCAAGGAGGTGGAGGGTGGTCTAGATGAGTTAATCCTCATACCTCAGAATAGAGTGTCAATAGACAAGAAGTGGTGATATAAAGACACAACTAAGGAAGTAACTGCGGAGAAAACAAAACCAAAGCCACTAAGTTGTCAACTCAAGCACAAGACTGGGATGAGTAGGTGAACTGACAGTCAGCAGTAAACATGCTTAGATATTAGATCACAGAGGCTAGAGATATAGGTATAGGCTTTAATTAAATGTTTCAATTGCTTTGGTTGTCACTTAGATTAAAATCAAAGATAAAGAAATTATGTTAGTCATGTCCTAGAGGCCTGCCTCTAAAGCAAGTTCCAGGAAAAATGTTTAAAAGTACGCTTTGCTTGGAATAATAGAAAAATGTGACTAGTGAAGCACAAAATAATAGTAGCACTGAAGGAGTAATGGTCACAAGATGAGTAGCGTCTGCTTCACACACCAAGGTAACGATATTGACATATTGTTATGATGTTTTGCAGCTCACCAGTTGTAAAACGGAAGGACCGCCCCACCACAATCTCGCTGAATCCAGAACTGCAGGATTGAAATAGCTGACCAGAAGATGAAAATTAACTGCTGACCTAATCACTGACCAATCAACAAAGGCCCGCCACCCTAAACCCTTACACATGATCTTCTCTCTATAAAAACTCTGGCCTGTAAGCCATGGGGAAGTTCGGAGTTTGAGCACTAGCTTGCCGTTTTCATGTGTGGCGCCATTCCAACTACTGTAAAACAGCTGTCTTTCTTCACGGCAAAGCCCGGTGTCTATTCTCATTGACTCGGGGCACTCGGGTCTGCTCGAACTCTCACTGGATTTGGTTACACAGGGAAGAAATGAAGAAGGGTGAGAAACTAGGGGACTGTTGTTTTTTACCATAAAGTTGTTTGGGTTTTTTTCGGTCCAGTTTCATTTTCTAAATATGAACCTGCATTACTTTGATAAGAATACGTTTTTAAAAATACGAAGGGGCTTCTTAGTTACCACCCAGTTTGGGATGTGAAGTCAGGTTTTATATGAGTGACTCAGCTATTTTTGTTTTCCATATAAAAAGAGATTAAACCATACANAATGAGATAGCACCTCACACCTGTCAGAATGGCTATTACTAAAAATAACATGAGTTGGGAGAATGTGAAGAAAAGAGAACCCTTGTGCACTGTTGGTGGGACTTCAATTGGTGCAGCCACTATGAAAAACAGTATGGAGGTTCCTGAAAAAAAATTAAAAAGAGAACTACTTTATGACCCAACAATCCCACCAGTGGGGGCCAGCCTGCAAGGCCTTGGGGAGCATGTGAAGGGAGCTGGTGTTCCCTAAGGGGCAACTGGGGACCATGGAAGATGGGTCAGACCCACAATTCAAGTCAGATTTTAACCTTTAACTATTCTTTCAGGATTCAGAAGTTATAAAATGAACTCTCTGGGTGCAAAAAGTGAGTGTAGGGACACAGGTCATTTCTCAGGTATAGGCAAAAGGGAATGGTGGCTTGGGCAGTGGCAGAGTAACTCGGATGTCTAAGAGATACTGCAAACATAACCTGAACACAAGTAAGGCCCTGGTAGCCCTCCCTGCGAACACCAGCCTGCTCCCACCAATACAGGTAATGGTAACTCCCTTCCTCCTTCCTGTCACTCAGCATTTGTGTCACCCTTAACTCCTAGACTGTCAGCAAATTCTGTCAGTTTTACCTTCCAGATAAACCTAGAATTGGACCACTTATCACGTGGTCTGAGACACCATCATTTGCACCTGGATGGCAGCAGCTGCTACCCCAGGTTTCCCCGCCTGCCTCAGGCAAAATTCACTTTGGGGAGCTAGCCTTCAGGGCACTGGGACGCAGTGCCCAGCCTGCTGCTTGCCCCTCCCCTGCAGCCAGTGGAATAAAGTAGGCTCACCGTCACTCCATTCGGAAACCACTTAAGATTGTAATCTGGTCAACGCAGCCAGATTTACATTGGGGAGCTTGGTTGTTTGGTCTGGGGAATAGCAAAGCATGTCACTTAGCTCAAGTACAGCTTGGATCAGGTCTTACCCTGGCTACTGTTTTGTCACCTTCCCACCTCCCTGGAGGTTTCACATGGATCTATGGCCTTATGGACCCTCAGACTGACTCCTATTGCATTCACCTCCAATTTGAACCACTTTCACTAGGAATTCTCTTTCTGCTCTTGAGAGGGGCCCTGCCCCATCCCAACTGTAGTCACTCATGTATTGTATTTGCAGGCTTAGCATCTCCTCCATACTATGGAAGTAAACAGGGCCACCAGAGACCTGAATGCAAAGATGTCTGCTGTGTGAGTCAATGAGTCCCAAACACAGCTGCCTGTGCTTTTCCTGCAGCCCACTCTCCTCACCTCCTTCACAAGCCTCCACAAGAGATTTTATCAGGCATTTGCTGTTGATGTGGGCAGAAAGGGAAGCACTGGTCAGCACCCACTAAGGGCCAGGCACTGGGGACCAACGATAAACGCTGCTTTCGAGTGCTAAGCCACGGAGAGACAGCTGGAAAGGATCGCAGCTCAGCAGGTGAGTCCCCAGGACAGGTGAAGTGAGGGAACCAGGCAGAGCGGGAGGAGCTTGGNGCTTTCCAGTAGGTGTTGGTAGAATGCTTTATTTTATCTTCTGCAGCCTTTTATTCTCTCTCACGCTGTAGTGTTATATTTTCTCTGCACTGTTTCGACTTCTCATACAATGGGGGGTTTCCCTGGAAGTGGACTTCTCCTCTGTGAGCAGGCCGCCTGGGTCTCAGGGCACTACCTCTTGACGTTCCAAAGCTCTTTGTGCACCAGATTCAGGACCTGTGTGTTTCAGTGGCTCTGTTTACCCCTGTAGGTATCTTCCCAGATGGGTAGGGTCAGCAGCAGGGTGGGTTGTGAGAGGTGGTTCTGAGCCAATCCTGCATCCAAAGCTCTCTCCCCTTTGTCAGAACTAGTTGAGCTGCAAGTCCGTGGCTGCAGGCCACAGTTTTCAGAACCACAAATATTCTGTTCTTTTGATCTGACACTACTACTGTTCTGCTTCTAGCACTGGGCAGGTGGGGGTGGGGTGAGTAGGCTCCGTGCCTATGCCTTCCATCCTCTGCTTGGCAGTGAGGGCTTAAACCGCTGCTTTCACCCTTCTTCCCTTGGTCTTTGCTCCAAGGTCTCTGGCGAGAGCATTGGGTTCAGCTGTGTTATATGCTGATCCCTCAGGTGGGCCTGTGGGCCATAAGGGGAGTACTAGAGTCTGAATTCTTCCCTTTCCCATGACTGCCATAGCTCAGTAGCTACTGAATGCAGAAATCTCGGAGCTCAGGTCTCCGGTCTGTGTCCTGTGCCTGCTCTGCCCGCGTCTCCACTCTTCCCCTATCCCTCCTCCCCCACTCGTCCAA